CCACCGCTTAGTGTCCTCGTTGAGCCTGAAAACTCTGAATTTAGTCGTGTGTCTCACCCTGGCGACTAAATTCATTCCCGGTGGGACGCGATGCCCGTCATCCGAATCCGAATCGGGTACAGTGAAATCAGCTTCAGCATCATCTTCCACGTCATTTTGATCATCATAATCACCAATTCGCTCCCCTGGGTTGTCCTCGGTTACATACCTGGTCACGAACATCAACTCATCCTCCTCCGAGCACGTTACTAAGTAGACGTTGTCAGGTGCGCCCTTAATCTCGTCCATGTCAGTGACCGACCGCAACTCCGGACGATGTGGTTCAGAAATATCACAGACGAAAGCCTTCCCTGCTTGATCGACGACATAAAACTGACCCCTCCAAAACACAACATCCATAAGACAATGCCACCACCCCGGGGGTCGCGGAATCAATGTCCATCTTTGTTCTTCTTCTTCTTCTTCATCAAGGCCAGCCCTATTCCTATGCAACTTGCAAAAAGCTAGCTGTTGACGAAAGCTGATGGACGTCCGAATGACCATCGCGACACATTCCTCATCCTCCTCTGGCGGACACGACAGAGCCATTTTCACAATGAATCTCTTCTCCATGAACCTCTTTCCCCGTGCTGTCCTGCTGCCTTCGCGATCGACATGGAGGACCTCGTGGCGGTGCTTTTCCGGGCGGTAACTCAGCACATCGGGGAAAGCGGTGATCGCCGGCAGCGAGATCCGATCACCCGTGAAGGGGTTCGTCAAGAGCAGAGTCCCACCCTGCAGGGTGAATACCCAGCCTGAAACAGAGCCACGACAAGCAACCGTTCTGCCCAAACCATTTTCCGGCAATTCGATGTGGCGAAATTTCTTCTCCCCGACGTCGTAAAACAGCCTGCACCTGCTGCCTCCGCTGCTGCACAATCCACCAACAACCATGGCCGAATCGCGGCAGTACGGAAGCATCAGCCAAGGAACAGGGGATTTGAACTTACGCGGGGAATTGGCCATTAGGGTTTCCCTCCACGGCTTGCAAATGGCTCGGAATCGGATGAAATCTTTCGATTCGGTTAGCCGTTGATCGATTAGACACAAGAGCTCCCCGGGCAATTCGGACCAAGCCTCGTTGGATTCAGCAGCAGCAGCAATCGGCCTGGTTTCATTGTTATTGTTGTGATTAGTGCGGGTGGTGGGAAATTGAGGCAGTTCTTAATCAGTTAATGACGAAATGAAACGCAAGCAAAAACAGAGGTTGGCTTAGTGGCTTACCCGCAGCGATTCGCCGCCATAGTCTCGCCTCTGGAGCTCTGCTTTGTTTTCCGGCGCTTCAACATTCTTATGACTTCAGAAGGTGACATCAAGAAGCTCCTTTTATATTTTTCTGCTCGGCGGCGGCTAGGGTAGAGTTAGCTGAGTCCTTAATGCGCTTATTCAATAGGGAATTCTTCCATATCGGGGAGCAGCACGATTGGAGGGCTGATTTTGGTGCTCCCGCCCAGTTATTTGCGCCTTCTCTATGGCTTTCTAAAATTGAAAAATTATCTTACAGAAAGTTTGGAATAGAATCAATTCAGAATTTATTTCACTTTAAAATGAAATCTTGTAAAATAAATTTCTATGTTTGGAATGTTAGATTCAAATTTTTAGAAATAAATTTAGTTATATTTTCGAAACATATTTGTGAGATACGCTTAAAGTTGAATTAAATTAAAAAATTTAACAATACCCTTATTAATTTACAGTAGAAACAATATTATTATATAAAATTACTCATTTAAAATTCATCTTCTAAAAACACAAGTGTCAAAACTATCATACAACCAATCCGATCAAGCAAAACGAGGAATAATAAATAGTATCAGTGTTGCAGCTTAGCATAAGAAAGAAACTAAGAGTCTCAGTCGATCAGTTTACTTCATAATTGAGGATAATTATGTCATTGTACTAGTGAAATTCATTTGGAATTCCACTTCAATTCCTCGAAATTTGTAAAACTAGCCCCAATTCCACATAATTCAAAATTTTATAATTGAAAATGAATTCTTTTACATTCCAAACACACACACACGAAAACTGTTTCAAAATGAATTCTTAAAAACTTATGAAATTCATTAAATACCAAACGTAAGTTAATTATTTCCATTCTCATCTTTCGGATATTCTGCTATTTCGGACCAAACCAAACTCATGAGAACCGCAGTTCAATAGTGACATACATCTTAGTACCAAGGATCAGATTGACATTTGGCTTGGTTTTGACCGATCCAAATGTCAATATAATCTATTTTTGTTCCGTATTAATAAAATTCAAAGGACAAATAAGGGTTAATTGCATGGTTGGTCACTGAGATTACAAAAAACGTTCGTATTTGGTCACTGTAAATATTTAAATCCAATCTTGGTCACTCAAATTAGTTAAATGGTTCAAGTTTGGTCACTCTCCGTCCAACTCCGTTAAATTTGTCTGATGTGGCAGTCAACCCTCAAAGTTGACCGTTAACTCAGTGACGTGGCAATTAAAAAATAATAAATAAAATTTTTAATCTTCTACCATTTTCAACTCATTTTCACAATAAAGTAAAATAAATAAAACAAAAAAAAATATTATAATTACAAATTGAAAAGGGGCTCATCACCGACCACAACAACAACCACCACCTCTCCTCCACCGCCGATGACAACAACCACCGCCTCCGCCGCCTGTACCAGGACCTCTCCACCATCCTCCCCCACCGACTCGGCCCCGACGATCTCCTCTCCAAGGACGTTCCCCTGACGCTACTTGGCCACATCGATTCCTTCCTTGGTCTTGCTCTGTTCTTTCAGCTTCTTCAGGCGCATCTTGTCCCTCCACATGCGGCGCTCCAGCTCGTCCACGTCGATCTCATCCTCGTCGCTGTAGTCGTCGTCCGCGTTCGGATCTGTGTCGATTTGTGGGGCGACCAGATCTTCCGCGGAGGCGGCGGCGCCGCCCATGTAAGGCGCGGAGGAGAAAAAATCCATGTCGCTGCAGAATCCCAAGTCCTCAATGGTCATCATCTTGTTCTTTCCAATCAGCTAATTAATTCTTCTTCAAACTGAAATTCACGAGAAACCCATCACCAACAAGTCAATTATTGACTGATTATAGCTAGATCCATAAAAGGAACTAATACAAAGATTGAGCCACAGATCGAAGCAAAACATAGAGTTTATGGAATGGAAGGTTCATGTCAAATTGAATGAAACAAGAGATTGTGTAGAAATTCCACGAGGGAGAGATCGTTGTTGTGCTGCTCGAGGATCATGGGAACGTCCTTGGAGAGGAGATCGTCGGGGTCGAGTCGGTGGGGGAGGATGGTGGAGAGGTCCTGGTACAGACGGCGGAGGCGGTGGTTGTTGTCATCGGCGGAGGAGGAGAGGTGGTGGTTGTTGTTGTTCGTCGGTGATGAGCCCATTTTCAATTTGTAATTATAGTATTTTTTTTGTTTTATTTTTTTTACTTTATTGTGAAAATGAGTTGGAAATGGTAGAAGATTAAAATTTTATTTTATTTATTATTTTTTAATTGCCACGTCACTGAGTTAACAGTCAACTTTGAGGGTTGACTGCCACATCAAACAAATTTAACGGAGTTGAACGGAGAGTGACCAAACTTGAACCATTTAACTAATTTGAGTGATCAAGATTGGATTTAAATATTTACAGTGACCAAATATGAACGTTTTTTGTAATCTCAGTGACCAACCATGCAATTAACCAGTGTTTCTTTGAACCTTTTCCTTGTCGAGGTTAATGTTCATTCTCATATGATTAATTATCCACCGTCGTGACATCCTCCAAGTAATCTAGTTTAGTCATGTAGGTTGTATTACTTAGGTTCTGTTTACTTACTATTTTCTGTTTTCAATAAAATATATGTTGAAAACAGGTGAAAATAATATTTTGTCGTTTTGGAAAATAGCAGGAAATTGCCATTTTTCGTTTTCATAGTTGGAAACGAATAGAAACATAATGAAAAGTAAACTAGTTTTTTGGTTTCGGTTGCCAAATTTATGACATGAAAACAGAAAACAATAAACGAAAATGAAAGTGAACAGGGCTAGAGTCATGAAATTCGTACGGGTCATGTGGATAAATTGCTACGAAATTGTCAAATGAGACATTTCGACCCAAATGCCTCCTTATTAGGGGTGGAAATCGGTACGATATCGGTATCCCAATACCAAATAACGAAATCCCGAATACCGAATTACACCCTAAAATCAATCCCCCATTCCAATCCCTAAATAATTTCGGTATCCCAATCTCAATCCCTAAATATTTCGGTATCCCAATCGGTATTATCTAATACGAAATTAATTACCTTTGCAGTTATTAATTAAATATATAAATTAGATTTGATTGTTAAATATAGGAAAAAGAGACTAAGCAAAGAGTCTTGAGTTTGGATAGAGTTAGGATATGGATAAGAGAATGGAGAAGAGGTGACATCTCAAGTTTTGTCCTTGGTAATCTTTAATTTGACAAATTGGAGGCTGAGAGAAGACTAATACTAGTGTTTGTTTTTTGGTTTTATGAAAATATCAAGAGATTGGTGGTTGAGGGTCGTGTAGTAGTGAATTAGAGAAGTCTAGTTGAGAGCATAAAATACATACTAGCTTATATTTCGGTATTGTTCGGTATTTCGGTATATTACCGATCCCAATCCCGTAATCCCTAATACTGAATAACAATTGAAATTGAATCTCAATCTCAATCCCAAAAATAATACGTGTATTCGATAATGCCAAATATGAACAAATTCGGTATATTCCAAATACTGGTACCAAACTTCCAGCCCTACTCCTTATGATATAACAATTGAGGTAGAGGCTAATAAAATACTTGACTGATGGATTCGATAATGGTATTGAAGTTTGGGTGCTCAGTATGAAAAAAAAAAACCAATTGCTGTTACGAGAGGTTAATAGAAAATTTTGAGTGGTGGGTTTGATAATGATATTGAAATTTGGGTGCCAATCAAGTAAATTTACCGCGGAGTTTGGCCACAGCGCCTACAAGTAACCAAATTAGCAGCGAAATCGACAACCCTAGCTTTACAATCTGCCGCGCCCAAGCTCCCGCCACAGGCTCGACAGACATCAAGCATTCAAGCCTGGCCGTCGGCGAATTACTACAATGGCGACTGCTCAGGGCAGCCAGAACAATGGGGATATGTTGATGCTGGAGGCCGCTCCAGATGCTTCTCGTCCCTGGTCAAGCGCTTCCAATGCAGAAATTATCGACGCGTTGCCCTACATCGACGAAGACTACGGAAATCCTTCCATCAAGGCAGAAGTAGATCGCCTGGTGGAGGAAGAAATGCGAAGGAGCTCCAAGAAACCCGCGGACTTCCTGAAGGACTTGCCTCCCTTACCTCGCTTCAGTTTCGAGGTTAGCCTCCATGAAAGAAAGAAGTTTCCTTTTGTTCTTTGTTTGAACCAGGAATTAGCAGTGAAAAGGGGGGAATGCTTTAAAATTCATCCCTCGTGGTTCTGATGTAATGTTGCTTTGCGCCGCCAAGTACCAGACATTGTCATTGATTGACGGACGGAAGAGTATAATTTGTAAATGGTGTGTCAGAAAGTGCTTCCACTGGACTTGGATTGGGATTTTCATGTGCTGTAAGGGTGTTCTGAAGCTCTTTAGTTAGGCTAAAACCCCACTTTTTGATATCGTTGTTTCGCATTCGTGAAGGTTTGGTCTCCTTGGAGATTGTTTTTCAAGTTAAATGTGCATGAGAAGTTGCCTGGTAAAAAGTAGTCATGTGTGATTTAGGATCTTGTTAGAACTAGAAGACGTCCTTTAGCGTTTGAAAATGTTTCATGTTCAACCGGATCGACAAAAGTTTGTTCCTTGGTGATCTAAACTAGACTTATCTGAAGAATGAGTCTTAACATGTCTCTCTTATTGAAATTTGGATACAGAACTATCCGATGCTTGCCAAAGAATATGAACGCGTGAGAGCAGGGAAGCCTCCAGTTGCTATTGATTTTTCGCGATATGCCCATTTGGATCAGCCTTCTGCAAATAAGGTGAATGATGAAACTGCCTGGAAGCAATCACTTCAGAGAGCACAACGCTTGCTTCAGCATCAAGTTCTTAGGTGTGTAATTATTCTACTAAATTGCTTTGGAGTCCTTTGGAATGTCAGATGATAGATATGTAGAGGAAAGTAGTGGAACTAAAAGGTGTCCGGGCTGTCTTCATAGGCTCTATTGTTTTCTTTTGTCTGTTATTAATTGTATTTGATTATATCTTCCTGGTCTGAGTAGGAAGTGACTTATTTTGTGAAATCGAGCAACTGATTCTTTGAACTTACTATTGAGTTGGTTTTCAGGGTGGAGAATTTGGACTTGATGTCAAAATATGGTCCTGATATATGGGTACAGAACAACCGACAACTAGAAGGAATTTTATCCAGGTATTTTATATATTCAACACTGTTGTTCTCTTTGTTCCTTTTCTCCTCACCCTCTTCCTATTGATATGTGTGGTTACATTTACATATCCACATATGTGTTCTTGCTTAAGGTTGAGTTTCATCTCCTTGCATTCAGGCTTCCATATAGCATTGCATCCATTGTCGAAGGCACCCTGTGCATCTTTATATGTGCCTTGCACTTCTATGCTTGTTGGTAGGATGAAAGAAATGAAAATTTATAGCTGTTCTCTAGGGCTGTAGTTCTCGCATCTCTGGGCCTGTTCTTTTCTCAGTCGTACATCTTTTTTTTGTTTCTGTTACTTAACCATTTACAGATCTGTGCATATTTTCTTCAAAGTATTATCATCAGAATCGAAGTATTGCTCAACTATAACTTTACCTTTTTAAAAATCACCGTCTCATGTTCTTACTGTCAATACTGTATCATTGGTTTCAGGATGCAGAAACTGGCTCAGGAACACAATGAAAAGATTGAAGCAGTAAACCGTGAGAGGAAGTACCATCAGGTTACTTACCAAGACTTCATTACAACCTCTTTTTTTTTTAATTCTGTGGAGTTCTTGAACTTTTAAACAGTCTAGATGAACCTTTTCCATTAAATGACAGCAAACAACTGCATACGAGCTGAATGCCCTGTCAACACAGTGGAAAGAGCTTGCCTTGAAAAATATCGAAATTCAAGCAGCATGTGCTAATGTCCAGAGGCAGATAGATGATCTGAAGGTTGAAGCCTCCGAGAGGTATGCCAATATTGATCATTTATTCTCAGTGGAGCAAATTAATGCTTACCAGATCACGAGCTAATTTTATTTCTCATTATATTCAGAGGATGGAACTTGGAAGCCAGCATAGAGAATGGTTCACAGTTGCACTGAGTAATTATCAGGTAGCTTTTTCGCTTTTTTACAGCTGATGTCTTTCTAATTACGCATGCCATACCAGTAATGAAAGACGATTTAATCAAAAGTTTGTTGGTCGAGCTGCTCGATACATGATTCATTGATCATGAAATCATTATCAGATGTGTAGCGTGATGCCCAGCATATCTTTGCTCGTTTAGCTGCAAACCGATCGCAGTTTACATCGATGCGTTCCTAGACCGTTTACAACGCGCTTCCGGCCTTGTTTAACGTATGTGGATTTTGGTGCAGGATGATAAGTAGGAATGGAGAAGTTGATCTCTACTCTCTTGTTAGAAGCGGGCATGGTACACTATCAGGAACTTGCTGCATGCTGTTCAGTCAGCCTGTGGTGATTTCACTCATCTGTGTCGATAGCCTCGCAGCGACGCGGCTCAATGTGATATGAGAGGTCGTGGTTTGAAAGTACTGTAAACATATATAGTACGTTGAGCTTGTGGCCATTTATCCAGAGCTACTAAGAACCATATCAAGTCGTTATGTATTTAGAATGACAGTGGAAGTCTACCCTACCAATTGCTGATATATATATAAACATAAACACAGTATGTGTTGCAACTTGCAAGTACACGATGCAATTACAAGTGCCCGACAACGTCCTTTCCAAGGTATACATCCATAATCCATTACAATTTTGAGATCGAATCTACAATAAGTGACATGGATTACTAATCGGTTTGATACATTCCCAGACAGTTGTTGCGGCTGAGCGAGAAGTTGGAATTAGGTAATTAATTCTTTCATAACGTGAATATCACTTATAGTGTAGTAAAATTAATTTATGACAATCAATTAATAATAAGTTTTGGTAAATTGGCAAAAAAGATTTATGTCACCTTAAATTGATGAGGACAAATCATTTTCCATTTCATATGCATATATAGGATTTTATTATTATTTTACCAAAACTTACCTGTTTAGATGTTGAATTAATAGATTTTGGACATGATACTATATAATCCTAAACCCTTAGTAAGTGAACTCGAGATCCTAATTCTCTAAACACCACACCATAAACCCCAAGTGGTGCGTCAAATATGTTGGATAAATTGGAAATAATTACAACCGTCAATTATTGTTTCTAATTAAATTATTCTTAGGGTGTATGATTTTAAAAACTATGGCATAAATTGTACTGATAGGACTTAGGGCATAGTATCATGCTCCAAACTCCGATTACTTCAAGCCTCAAGGTCGTCTAGATATAGCTTTCTTACTAAGGATATGTGATACCCCACATATACCTGGGGCGTGCAACAAAACTTTCCAGATAATTGAGAATATAATAATAATATGAGCTAGTAATGATATACATAGAATCTCGCATACAAGGATTTGGTCCAGTAATAATATCATCGATCTTGAATGTGAAGGTCTCGGATTTCAAACATATATATTACCAATATAAAAAGGAAAACGCTATACATAGAATCGCGATTTATGGAGTTAGTTGTGTGTTGGCCACCTCCTTTAGTCTTGAAACGAGAGAAGCACTCAGCGGCGGATCCAGGAGGGGGCCGCCCCCGAGACGCGGCCCAGCCCTTCTTTGGATCAAAGCTAGTATAACACTTGTAAATTTTTTTTATTTTCGATAATCGTTTAAGTATTCGTCGAGCTACGGCCCAGCCCACTCTGCCTCTTTTCAAAATGTGGCTCGGTGCTCTACCCAGTCCTGAATCCGTCGCCGGAAGCACTTATATAGACCAGGCATAAGACTTGCCTTGGATGAAGGGACTAATAAGTACGTCTTAAGCACTTTGTCATTATCTCCACGATATGAGGAGGGGATCGAAATCAATTGGGCCCATTATCTAATCACATATCTAGAATGTTTGTTGGTATTAAACTATTAATCAACCAAGAGAAGAGTTCAAATCAGCATCCATTCCACGCCAAGTACGTACAACGAGCTAAGTAGTGGTGGGGAGTTTGGCAGCCGCAAGAAACTTCCTTTCCTTCCTTCCCCTATAATGCGATCGAAAGTTGACCGCCAAAAACTAAATGCCAAGCCAGCAGGGTAATTAGTTTGACCGGTAAACCCACCACCCACCCCACAAGAACCAAAATTAAAAATTGGGTTTTCTTTTGAACCGGCTTTACTTCAATGACTGAAGACCTTCAATTTCCACCCACAATAATATATATGGCATCTATTCAACACCCCCACCTCTCCCTTTCAGCCGTTATCTCTTACCATTCATCCCTTTTTTCCTTTTGCAACATTTTGTGTGGTTGCGTGCTGTCCGGTGCATAGTTGAATTGATGCCTTCTAGCATTGTCCTGCGTACAACGATTGGGATCGAAAATGACGCGATTTGGTTATCTCGGTATACGATGATTCGTATTTTTTGATGGAGTGAAGATGAAACGCAAAATGACAGTTTGCGATGCATGGTAATCAATATTGGTTTGAAAGTTTCGATGGTGGGATATGTCGGAGGATTATAAAAAAAAATGTGTATGATATCCTATTGCCACATCTTATTCTCGGCGAGGTCGATGATCTATGGTGTGGCTGCATTTCGCAACGAACATATGTAAGATAAATATTTGGTCCGCAACTAAATATTTTGACGAACCACTATTAAATATATGTGAAACGGGTCGTTATTACTAAATAGACCTACTAGATAAGTTAAAAAGAACGCAAATGTTAAGCATGGCGTAAGCATCATAAGTTCCATAGTAAAACTCATTGTCATGTGAACCAAACCACATTAGGGGTTGGACCAGTAGAACCATCAATGAGTTATTAAGGCGGTTCAGTGCATTTCTTTGGACAGTTGGGGGATGGACCGAACGATTTTAAACGATGTGTATGAAACCAGATGAACTGGGCTGGTTTAACTGATTCATTGTTCTGTAATTTTAACCACATAAAATTTAAGAAAACAAAACTTTAACACAAAACTTCATTTTCTTCGTTTTTCTGCCTCCTTGTCGGTACACTGTCAATTGTCGCCCTAATTACTAATTTGAGTTTAGTAAAAAAAAAGGGCAATGTCTATTTTTTACCCAAACCTTTTTCAGATTCTTTTATTTTAACCAAACCTATAGAAATTCTATTTATTATCCAAACGTATTATAATTTATCAAAGTCTGGGCATTCATTCTGTTACCGTTACTTATTTTGTCCACGTGAGAGGTGGGATTTTGTTTTGTTTTTTGATAATCTTTTTATTAAAAATAGTAAATGATGGTATTCTGACCGCCACGTAAGAAGTCAACTCATTATGGTCATACTTAGTCAGCATTACTAACAGAAAAGTTGACGGAGAGTTAACGTTTGGATAATTTTTAGGAATTCAATAGGTTTGGTTAAAATAAAAGAATCTGAAAAAGGTTTGGGTAAAAAATAGACATTGCCAAAAAAAAAATTGTGATATAGTTTTAATGATGTGTTGGAAGTTTTGATAATGGATGATACGAATTTAAAATTATTTCTGGTTAGTAATAAATTACTAACTTTTTTATACTATTAACGATTACCTCTACAACATAAACCATAAATTTTTCAAATTCAACATCCGAACGACGGAACGAGTTATGAAAACATGGGTTAAACCTATAAAAGAAAAAGAGACAAAAAGAAGTGACCCCTCCACCCAATAAAATACACACCAAACTCAAGTGGTTTACATTATACATTCACATGCAAATGATATATATACTGCATACTTCAGCATATCCTTTCTAGAGCTCTCTCCAACAACTCTTTTCCAATTGGAAAAAAAAATGGAGGATCTAGAAATTGAAATCCCGCACTATTTTCTCTGTCCGATCTCCCTCCAAATCATGAAGGATCCAGTCACCGCCATCACCGGCATCACCTACGACCGCGACAGCATCGAACAATGGCTCCAGAACTCCTCCACCGCCACCGCCGCCGCCGTCTGCCCAGTCTCCAAACAGCCGCTCCCGAGAACCGCCGACCTTACTCCCAACCACACGCTCCGCCGCCTCATCCAAGCCTGGTGCACCCTCAACTCCGTCAACCGGATCCCAACCCCAAAATCCCCACTCGCCAAACCCCACGTCACCAAGCTCCTCCGCGAAATCCTCCACCACGCGCCGCCGTCGGGATCCCTCCACGCGCTCCTCAAGCTCGACAGCCTGGCCTCCGAGAGCGACCGCAACCGCGCCACCATCGCCGACGCCGGCGCCGCCAAGGCCATGGTCTCCCTCGTCCTCAACCCCGAATTCCGCACCGCCTCCGCCGGCGGTGTGGAGCACGCGCTCCGCGTCCTAAATCTCGTGTGGAACCACACCCCGGAAACCACCACGAAGCTTCTCGTGAGGCAGAACGAGGGCCCACTCCTCCACTCGCTGACGTGGATTTTGAACAATTCAAATTCAAATTCCCAACAGAATCAGACCACGCAGGCAATGTGCCTCGCCAACCGCGTGATCGCTTACGCCAGCGCGAGTCTCCTGGAAAGAATCGAGCCGGAATTCTTCCGGACCATCGTGGTCCGGATCCTGGAGAGCCGGACCGCCTCGAAACAAGCGAGGCGGTCCGCACTCCAGGCGCTGGTGGAGGCGTGCCCGTGGGGGGCGAACAGGGCCAAGATCGTGGAGGCCGACGCGATCCACGCGCTGATCGAGCTGCAGCTCGATCAGATGTCGTCGTCCGCGTCCGCGGGGAGCAAGGTCGGGGCGGTGGCGGCGGCGGCGGGGGAGAAGCACGCGACGGAGCTGGCGTTCGACCTGCTGGCTCGGCTGTGCACGAGCGCGGACGGGAGGGAGAGGCTGGTGGGGCACGCGGCGGGGCTGGCGGTGGTGGCGAAGAGGACGCTGAGGGTGTCGGCGGCGACGGACGACCGGGCGGTGCAGGTGCTGGGGATGGTGGCGAGGTACGCGGCGGGGAAGGAGGAGGTGCTGACGGAGATGCTGAGGGTCGGGGCGGTGACGAAGCTGTGCATGGTGATGCAGGCGGATTGCGCGGCGTATTTGAAGGAGAAGGCGCGTGGGATACTGAGGGAGCACTCGGCGTTTTGGAACAACTCGCCGTGCATTGCGGTGTATCTGCTGACGTGGTATCCCCGGTAGGCCCGCGGTAGTATACTACGACGCCGTTAGTTACTAACCTTTAAAGTATTAGTAGGTTCGGTTTTGCGTTTTTTGGGGAAACCTTTGCTTCCTTGTTTTGGCTCTAAGGAGCCAAAGGAGGAACTACGGCTGTATAATTTGCTATATCTACGTATGGCATTCGAAAGATTATACATTATAGATGTTGAAAGAGCACTTTCGTTAATGAGTTACGTAAGTAACACTCTTCACAATCCTATGAGTTGCTAGGGCAATGATTCTTCTCTGGCGAATACACTAATAACGAGGGAATCACGCGTGATAGTTTCGATGATGATGATGTGTATGTTTCAAACATTCTAAATATGACAATATGTCGCGCGCGTAATCATAATAAATGAATCGAGATCGTTTTAATTTCTCTCCCGCCCATAAAGTCGGGTCCTCCTTGCGTGAAATCCTGCGCGCATGGGCCACTAACTGAAACTATCGACCTCATATAATAATCGTCTAAGAGTATGTACATACCCGTATGTACTAGTAGGGTCGCAACAAAACGCTACAAAAATGGTCTATGTGAAAACACACACGAAGACGATACGAATCTCTCTTACAACTACTGATAAATGTGATTGTATCGCGGTATGTTTAATTTGTAGAATGTAGGTATATATCCATCTATGTTTGATGAATGAGGAGGAGGAGGAGGAGGACACAAGGTAATTTGTCGAATGTGTGAAGGAGGAAGTAATTGGTGGGTAGCGGTTAACAGTTAGTAAGAGTATACCATTTTGAGTAGTGTTCCAGGAGTTTGGATTATCTATCAGCATTAACCTAATTCGTGGCACTGACGTGGCAGACTTGTTCTAGGAAAAGGACTAGTATTTAGAGTAGTAGACAAAAGTTGACTTTGAACCACCGCTAGCTTTGGTAGTTGAAGCGATCAATTGTATTTTTTATGATCACGGGACGACGACTTGGCTCCATCTGTCGCAGCTGGTGGTCAGAATTCAACACCGACAGCAATGATTTTTGGCAGGCCAAATCTGATTTCCTCACGGTCTCTAGAATCCCGCTCCTCTAACCCCATTCCCTTTGTCGATATTGGTACCGTGATGAACTGGAGGATTCGTAAATTTTGGGGGGGTTGGAATATTCAAGTTCAGATTTCTGGATAAGTTGGATCCCAAATATGGTTGATACATGGAGTTTCTAGATGATAAGTTGTATATTTCATTTATGAAAAAGATGTCTGAGTTGGGATTACTGCATATTGGCCGGATACGGGTAACACCTGTGAAAAAAAATTGGAGAGAACGATTTTAGTTGACTCCAGTCTTATCCTCGTTTTTTGTATCGTTTCCGAATTCGATTCATATGCGGCATAAAATTAATTACGTATTATATTATTCATTCTCTCTCGTTTCTCTCACCAAAATTTTCAAAAGAACATAACTCTGTATTCATTGATTTTTTTTTTTCAATTCCATCAGAACATAAATGTCACGTCTTAACTCTACTATCCACAAAACTGGTTTAACATTTGTTATGCTTTATCGTGCATTTGTGATTAATTTATGATATATATGTGATATTCGTTCAACCTCAAAGCTCTACAACCACATGTGTTTTCATCACGTGTATGGATCCCCGTGAATTTAATTCAATCTCACTTTCATCACCAAAGATAGATTGTGAGGAAAATTCAACATATATGGTGAGATTTTGAGGGGAAAAAACCCTCATTAAAATTCCATAAGCAAAAGTAGGCCCAGTAAGGTACTAAAGGCCCGCATGTTAGTACGGGATTAATTTCTTAGGATTTGGGCTGGACGTCCACCTTAACTCGATCTAGCACGGACTCAAACGGCGGCCCATACACTCCCCCTTCAAACTAAACCTATAACCATACAACTTTCACCGATTTGATTACATTGGCAGATAGCTTACTCTGTGGTGATTGGTGAGCATTGTTAATTATAAGAATTTAACTAGATCAATGGTTGGAGCGGTAGAACTATTAATCTAGTTGGTTCGGTTCATCATATGATTGGAACGTTAGGGATGGACGCAACGATGTTTGGCGGTTTTACGTGAAGTCAGTTGAACCACCCTGGTTTGACTATTTCGTTGGTTCGCAATTTGAACCACAAAAAATTAAAAAAGTATATATACTTTAATGTAAACCAAGATCATCCAACCTCAATGACTAATTTAATTTATGTTTCATTTTCTTCATTTCTCAACCTCTTTGTCAGTTTTATGTGGTGCACTACGGATTGGCGACCCTTATTACAAACTTGAATATAACATAAAAAATCTTTTATGAGATTGTTTGAATACTCTGTTTGAACTTTTTGATGATAGATGATATGGATTTGAATTTATTTATGTTTAGTGATAATCTCACTCCTAAACTAGTGTATATATGCCTTTTAGATTATAGTGCATGCATGAATGATTCTGTCAACGATTAATCAACAGATCTATAAAAGTTAACCGTTGAACGACCACCCACCAACATTTCCCCGATTTAGCATCATGAAACATTGGTGGTGAGTCATCTTTATCACTCGGGATTAGGCACTAGTAGTCATTATCATGAATAGTAAATATCTTGATAATGAAAAGAAAGAGAGCTTACTATAGTACCGATAGCATCACATCGTTTTTTTTTTTAATAGGAGTGCATGCAATGCAATGTACAAGTGACGAGGGATATGCTACCTAATATGTTAAGAAGTAATTTGTCTCCTTAATTAATTTACTATACTTATCAGTTATCACACCTTTTTTTTATTTTTTTTATTAGAGGACTCTGAGAGAGAGATAGAGGTGTTCTTCGATAGTAGTGGGATGTTGTCTTAGCTTTCGTTTCATCTGGCGACATACCGTTTGTTAGTTTCCTTAAGTTAAGTTATCTAGGGTTGACTGTCCTTTTGTTAGCCCTTGTAATTTATTTTTCTTGTCTATCTTGCCATGCATATTATGGGTTTGACCTGTTGGTTCAGCTGTAACTAGGGATTTGTCGTTGAGTTTGGCTGGGCTTTCCTTTTTGTATAGATCAGAGTTGTTTACACGAATTTTCTTACAGGAAAGAGGGTTTTTTTTTTTTTTTTTACTTTTTTACCTCCAATAATTTATTTCTCAGTCACAATGATTCAAATCAAATAATAACCCATCCGAATGAAAAAAACATCGAACGCACTTGTGAATTATAATACGTATTTGTTTCTCGATTAATTCAAACGCATAATTAACCAATAACTCGCAATCCAATTAAAGCACATATTAGTCTCTGACACTGATGTTTAACTCGCGCGATTTTGGATTGAAGAGTAAATCCTTGTCTTTTTTTCCCCTCCATCGCATTCATTAATTATGGTAGAATTAGAATGTCAACTCTCCTGGGCCTTGGCTGGCCACCCGTAATAGAATAGAGTTGGAATTGGAGCCACAAGAATGAAACTCTCCTCTCCTGTCTTATTGTTCTTATTTTTCCGTTTGATTTGGTCATCTCTGCTAGCTCTTCCATTTATTGCATACCTCGTAGTTTCTCTTCCTCTTTGTACTAATTCCTTTGACAAAACTGACTGCAGCTTCGACTTGTTGTGACCAATTTTTTCAATAATGGAAGTTCTTCATTAATTCACGACGAGACAAAACTCTCCCTCAGCACTCACTGTACGTAATTTACCTTTGGTAAAAAAAAAAAAACTAGCCGTAGCAGCTGGCTGGCTGACCAACGCAAGATTATTGGCGAGCGTGCTGGCTTGGCTTGGCGGGTTTACTGGAATTTTCATTTGGGAAATGTTCTTGCTATATATTCTATAGCTAATATATATTACATAATAATATTTGTTTCTCCATTTAAATATAGGGATTGATTAATTTAATTATACTGCACAAGTGCACATGTATGACACAATTTTTTGGTAACTATTGTATGATATATATAAACAAGAAATCAATGATGCTTAGATTGCCAACTGGATCCACCATACTGTTTCCATCTTTCCCTTAAGGGACAGAGATATATTAATATTTATCAATAATTTTTAGTCAATGAGATGATGAGTTTATTTTTAATTAATATAGTACGAAGTTAAATTTTATCTGGATTTAACTTATATTCTTATAGGATTAGTTTACTCGCAACCCTACTAACAACTATTAGAGGAAGTCTTGTTGACTTCATGCTTTTTTTTCTTACTAGGTTGGTCTAGGGTTTTGTCGATGATTTTGTCCTTGTGTATCATTTGTAATTTCCACTCTCCAGTTGTCGGTCGATGATAATACATAATATACTACTACTCCCACTTAAACCAGAGAATGGTACAAAATTGAGAAAACCCTAATCGATAAGGATTGCGACTTCCAATATTCCTGGAAACCCAAAGAGGACAAGAGGCTCCAAGTTAAAAACTCCCTTTCATCTGCAGAAACGATGGCTACACAACTTTTGGAGAAGTTCTCTCAAAATTTCACCTCGTTTCCTAAAACGAATCCAATGAAACAACATATATATAGGGACAACAATAACGTTATCGAATGGTGTTGACCAAATTTTTGAATGGTCAGAGATATATGCAAGTAAGCTTAATAAGCATGCTGTGTTAATAAATCGGAGCTTCTTTGTTTGACTCTCTGATCTACACATCGACAAGAGAAATCACAGCTTGCATCATTCTTGACGAAAGTCACTCACGATATACTGGAACTATACCACAATAACAACAACAACGAATTTGTAGTCCAACGATAACTCGACAATAGAGAACTCAGTGAATCAGTGTTCAAATTTTAATGACTGCGAAAGCCTTATAACCCAATTTCATTTTTATTTAGATAGTAATCATCGTAACATTGATATAGTAACGATAAACAGTATATTGCAATTCTCTCCATTAGAAACTAAATCTTCTGTCAATAACGTAACTTCTCTATGGTCACAATCTCCGGCTTGTCATCATAATATACACAACCGTCGCAAAAATTGGATGTGAAAAAAATTAATAAAA